TAAAGTCCCCTCTTGTTCCTTTTGGCAAAATGCGGCCCTTCGTGTTCATTTTCCACAGAAGTTAATGTGCGAAAGACCAAAGGCATTGATCTTATCAGTGCGCGTTCTCGGTACTTACTTAGCGCTTGATATTCTGATTTCAAAAAAAAAAAAAAAAAAAAAAACTGATCTTCAGGTCTTCAGTCATAGGCCTGCGGCCGACCGTTGAGTCCTACACGGGGAGAAGAAGGAACGACGCTGCGAGCCTCAAGTTACGCGATCTCTGTTTTGCCAACGGTTATAGTTGCCTCCAGGTGTATGCAAAAGCTCACCGCCACCGTCACATAGCGATGCTCATTGAGCGTACACCAATACCCAAGCAAAACATCACAGACCGATAAAAAGGAAAGAGGGAAGGGATGGTGATGACTGACCTTACGATTCACGCTCCTGCCCAGATTTGAATAGCGCGCGCCTCGGTCAACCCAGACTCTGACTTCATTGGAGTATTTGTTTATTTAATCACTCGACCACCTCGCACACAGCTTGACCTGACCTCGTCGATCTAGACGGGCGCTGCTGTGCTGGTGATAGGAATGGTAATTAGACCCCTTAAGTAGGTCGGAACGTCACCTGGACAACTGCCTCGAGGAAGGAGGGACGTTCATATGGGAAAGTGCAAGGCGGCAGTTACCGGTAGGGGAGCAGTGATTGCCAGGCGCAGTTCTCACGGCACCAGGTTGACCACATAGATTCTCCAGCTTTCGCCACTGAGACAAACTTCATTGTGATATTCTATAAAATTCTAGGATAATAGAATCTACCTATGAGTATCGTCATCATACAACGTGAAAACAGTTGAGCTCCATCCATATTCTTAACCTTCGAGAGGAAAGTAAGGAATTATGCTGCCATCGAGATCGAATACACCGAAGAATATCCTCAACTTCAAGTAAGGCCTTTGGTTCATTTATTTGACTGTTTACGCGGGCATTTCAGCTCGCATCGTTTCTCTGATAATAAGGTAGATTTCTTCATGCCGAGATAGCTAGTAGCTCATAATCGCCCATAGCCTAGCGTCGAGCAGGCAAGCAGCCCTGATACTCTAGGAAACATCGACAGAATTTGTAGCTGATAGAACAAGCAGAAAGGTAGTGAATGTGTTCAGGAAGTGTTACTGTTACGCCGCTTTGTAGCTGACCCGGACGTTCGTAAAGTAGCTGTCTCATGCGAAGTATTCCTCCTAGTACGTTCAAGGGCGGCGAGGTTCATGTAAACTATTGTGATATCATCTTTAATCACCAAGATGAAACGGTCTATACGAAAATGCCTGGATAAAGGTGACGATCAAGGCCTTTTAGTACCTACTGTGTTAACAGATATCAATCAAGTCGCGATCGCACTTTTCTTTCGAACCCTCTTGTCAGACGAGCTTCAGGTCGTCCCAAGAGTAATGATACGGATTCATGTTGTTGTTCACCCGAACTTGAGAGTTTCACTACCGATTGAACGACGATGTTCGATGACGGAGCGACCTTACTGCTAACAGCTGCCCGATTGAAGCTCCGTTTCAAGATGATGATTACACTAAAATAAAATCGACCAAGTCTAGTTCCAAAACTTTGTTTTTGTGGCCTTTGGCCTGTCGACCTCTTCAAGACGTGCATGGAATAGTATTCAAGGGGTTTTCTCGGCAACAGTAAGCTAATACACATGCTTCCCGTTCGTTGAAGACGGCGAACTTCAAAACTTCGAACCACGTAGGCAGAAAAGTTCGTTCTCAGTGCCCTTACTCGTACTTGCTAAACCCTACCCGCCTTCGAGGCCTACTACATCTTGCCACCTAGAAGCGTATTTCCAGCCTCCCTTCGCTATCTTTAGCGTATTTAACCCATATTATACGTGAAGCAAGGAACAATAGTGATCTCTAGCTTATGCATTGCTCTTAGCAGTACCATGTATCGATCATCTGTTCTATACTCAATATAGCAAGCTTGAGAACCCGAGACGAACCTGTGGAGGTGGTCCGAAGACAATGTTGGACATTGAATTTATGAAAACCAATAGACGTTGCGATTTGAGCCAAGGTTCATTTCTCCCATGGTAACCTTCCCTTTGTACGAGATTCTGACCCGTTGCCACGTGTGCAGTTACCATCTACTCAACATCCAGGTTCTCTTCTTCTGAGTACGCCTGCCTTCTCTGTTGAATCCGACGAGGCGGACGAGGGAGGTAGAATGATCTATTCTCTATGTATGATAATTTACAATGGTCTTTCTAATCGTAAGTAGGGAAATTTCCTTTCAACACCTATGTTCTGTTTAGTGAATTCACCCTCCTCATGAATTCTTGCCCGGAGACCGATGATCAATGGCTGGACAGCAGGGCTCTGGCCGGCCATGAGCCGACTACTCATCCATTGTCGTTGCCAACAGAAAACAGTTTCGAGTGCGGCAGCCACGATGGCCTCTGATGGGCCATATGCTGGCAGGCGTAAACTCGTCTAGCATGTAGAGCCCCATGTCAGTCGCACTACAACTGGTCCGGAAAGTCACCGGCCACGATTACCCATCCGGAGTCCATCAATAACGACGTGGAACATTCTCCCTAAATCGCTCTTGCAACTCATCATTCATCCTCAAAAGACGAAACTCGGCTTCGCCGTTACATCGACCTTTTTGTACGACAAGAGCCCAAACCACCGCAAAAGTCGGCCCGGCTTCTTCGACGATTCACCAAACCTCCACCCTCACCGTCTACCGGCTACCGGCACGATGGACGATAAGATGTAACAAGAGCACTCAGACATAAAGAAGGGGGAAAAAAAGGACACTCAGATCATCGAGCGGATCTACCCCACCGTCAAGCAAAGCACTCACTTCATGCGCTTTTCCGGTGTGAATACTCCGGTGAGCCACTCACCTCGACAACATGTTTGCGGGACGCAAACCAGGCCACCAATGTAGCGGGGGGAAATATCGCACACGCGAGGTGATGAAGAGAATTTTATCCCTTGCAAAGCGAAAAGGGAGAGAATTTCTCCCGTTGGTTTTCCTCTTGGCCCAGCGTCTCACGAGTGCTTCTAGATCTCGAGCACTGATCACACCCGTTCATGCTTACACCATGTTGACTAAAGACCGGTCTGTATCCGTACACGAAAAAAAAACACCTAACAAACCAACGAGCAAACTTGGGGCGACGAACACGAACCACCACGCGGCACCGACGACTTCTTCCAAAACCCCCGGGCCTCCCGTCCGTATGTGGAAAAAAAAGAGAGAAAGAGGATCCTAGCACAATCGATCTATTCGTGACCGCGTTCTCGCCTACAGAGGTTTATCTGAACTACTAACCGATCCCCCGAAGGACGGGAAGAACTTAAGAAGGAGTGGCGTGGGGGAGGGATGGGGTCATGGAACCGAAGAAGACAGAGATCAGGGGTTTGAGAGCAAGGCCCCCTTCCTCTCTCTCTTTTCTTTCTTTCTCGGAATCTGCGCCGTGAACCCCCCAGTCCTTCTCAAACGAACAGGTCCCGAAACCTCTTTCGGAGGGGCCGTGGAATTTGGGAACCCTTTAAGTCTATCTTATATGAATCTACCCATAATTTGAAGGAGAAAAAGTAATCCGTCGCGTCGTGATGTGGAATCCTGGCGCGGGCGGCGATGAGCAACAGTGAGGCTAAGCCAGATAGCTCTGCACCTCGCATCTTGCATGCAACGCGCTAGGTGCTGCTGGTATACCTGGGACTAGGCCACCCGAATCCGAGGACCCCGGGTTTCGACATCATTTGACCTTTTTTTCAACAACTTTGACGAACAAGCTAATGTAAAGACAAGAGGTAAGTGCAACAGTGGGCAGAAAAAGCGAAGGAGAGGGGGATATAGAAAGGGAGCATGCGAGCATGAGACGTTTGATCGGATGTGCCATCCATAGTTAGGGCGATCTTATCAAGGCGGGTTTCTAATTGAGGGACGGGACTTTGTTCCAACTTTGCAGTACTCTTTTTCTCTCTGCTTGGACCGAAGCACGGACGATAGGCCACTTTACAAGCATAATCAACCGAACAGGCCTTCTTTGAAGCCCGCTTCTTTCGAGTTGATGAACTCGGAGGAGGATCTCAATCAAGTGCGGCGGAGTTCTCTTACGTGACAGGGCTGGGTTGTTCGTCGCCGGCTGTGGCTTCGGACAAGACTCCGATTTGCAAAACCATGGGATGTTCGTGGTAAGTAAGCTTTGGTGCCAGCGGGGGTCTGGATGGGCTCCAGGTGCTGTAAGTGTATCAGTACGGGAAGCGTAGACAGGCAGGGCTGAAACGAGACTACGGGCGATGAACCGTCAGTACGGGATATTCCCCCTCGACTACGAATCAGTTCTGAGAGTCCTTGAATGACCTCGGCATCTGTTCGCTGGACATGCAAGGCTCATGTCGCTTTGCCAGGGTTGAAAAGCGTAAGCGCAACTTTGAAGACCTGACACTACCTAAAGTATGTTGTCAATCATATCACATTTCGCACCTGTCCACTCGAGGAATTTCCTTTGATGGCCACGCGACCAGCTGTGAATACCGAGGCATGCGAGGGTGTGGGATAACGGGGATTTTGACCAGCCCGCCTGGGGAGGAAGCAAGCATTCTGAATGGGTGATTTCTATCAAAATTAGCATGGGTGATGGCGATATCTGCCTGCCCTATCAGTAGTATGTAGCGAATGGTGATCAGCGTGCAGGAACAAGGCGCGCACGTTCTCAGGATGGTGCGATGCGCCGAAGTCATGTCCAGTAAGGGGCGGGGGGGCAGAAGGGATCCGGTGCTGGGTGAGAAGCTAGCCCCGAAGCTCATAGTCGTGAGTACCGACCTGGTCAATTTGGAGAGTACCATCAAGCATCGGGCGAGACGACCATTCACAGAAGAGAAGTGTAAGACGGAGGTTTGGTTTGATCACGAGTCGTCCAAGTGAGGCTCTTAATCAGGTCTTTTGCCACTATTGCAAGAAAGGCAAGGTAGTTAGGATGCCTGGCTCTCGTTACGTCCTCCTTCTCCTCGGTATCGTGGACGGTGACTGTGAGAGGTGCGGGAGATGGACGACAGCATTTCGGCCGGCAGAAGATGGCTTTCGGAGGGCGCGGGCGCAGGCGCAGATCTGCGGGCGCGGCATTGAGGCCGACCCAGTCTCGGAAGTGAAATCTACGGCCGGGCATCTGCGTAGGCGGGGAACCGGTGTCATGTCAATTTGTTGGCAACTCATGTAAGTCATTGATTTAGGAGTCTCATGACTCTGCACAATCGTAGGACCGGCAGGCAGTACAGCTTGTGCCTCTAGTGTCTACAGTAGAATCAAAAGAAAAACTATCGAGAAGCATTCGAAGTCGAAACGGCGATGGGTTACTTTAGGCCCCCAAAAGCCGAAGTAAGGCAATCTAGGGATAACATGTCGGGTGGTCGGATTGACACCGTTGTATCCCTACTAAGGTAGAGAGAGTGAGGGGGTTGCAAGGGGATGAATGCAACCACTTCCTTTCTCTATAGAGTATAGACTGCTCTGTCTTCCACAGACGTACCAACCACGTCGGCGGGCGATGAGTCGGAGGGGTTGGGAGATCCCATCTTTGGGGGCGGGTTGAGTTTCTATTGGTAAGTGGGCAAGAGCTGAGATGAACCATGGTTGCAGGGGTGATACGACTGAAGTTGCACGTGGTGGCTGGAAAAAGGTGAAAGGAACCAGCCCGCCTTGCTCGCGGACGATCAGGAGGCTATTCGCCCCAGACAGCGAGATTCCTTCCACGGCGAACCATCGTAGGAGCCCAAGAGCTTTGACCGAGGAGCTGAAGCCATCCCCCACTATGGACAAATCCCCGGAGGACTCGGCGGCTTGCTGCTTGCACACTCAAGCAGCCAGTAGCATGGATTTGCCAAGGGTGCAGAATATAGGTGAAATGATCTGGATAGATGGACAACAGAATAGCTCATAGTGTGCGTAAATATCACTGGCTTGACCTCAAGGCCAGGGAGACGGATAAGAGAGAGAAGCTATAACTCTATAGGAAGGTCGACGAGATGCACAGGCATCGCGTGCAAGCCAAGGAACAAGACTCACCGAGCGCAGCGGTGTCGGTCAAGATTCTGCCGTCAAAGATGGGAAGAACCCAAATGCATCGGCCCATCGTTTTCATATTCGGTATCGTTTTCAACCCCTCTGTTTTGGTCGCAAACGGTACAGTCCCTTCCCACTCTACCATCATAAGAAGAGTTGGGTATGGCCAAATGGGCCCATCTGGCTTTGTGCGTCGTGGGTGGCAGGCTTAGAAGCGAAACGTGACACGTTGGCTTCGAACGAAGCATACGCAGTAGTGTCTCCCATCAGTCCTCTCTGCAAAAGCAGACCTCGGATACCGGAGTTTCGCCGACGTGCAGGTAAGAAGGGGAACTTCGGTCATCCCCCGGAAACTATCAGCGAGGCAGTAACCCCGTCACGGCCATGTCTGTGGGAACGATTGCAGTAGCCCATTGCGAGGTTGAGTGGTGATGGGAATCCTTCCCTCTTGATTGGAAGTTGGGACAAATGTGACCAAGTGTTTCTGGCCCAACCATGAAAGGAAAGCGAGAGGACAGCGCTCTACTCTGTACAGCATGTACCCAGTTGTGGGAACATCAAATCTCGGCGGTGCAGGCTCTGAGGAAGAGGGCCTCGACTGACTACACTACTGCAGATAGCTGCGGGTTTGCAGCCGCAGTTGCACGGAATGTCCTTGCAGTCTGGTACTCGTCCGCGGACGTGCGAGATAAGCGGTAGATTCCCTGCCGTCTGATTACCGCGTCGAGCCACTTCGCATCATGTTGAACGTTCTTCTTGAGTCAATATGTTGCTGATGTTGAGCCAGGCAACGGCGCTCGTCACGAAGAAACAACCTGAGAATGCGCGTAGGCTTTGTCGACTCCTGCTGGTGTATTGGATGAGGTGTGTGTGTGAAAAGTGGGATGGGTTGAACGCTCAGCCAGCCACGACGAGCTCTGGCAGGGCGGGACAGGGTAAACTCGGGCGTACGACAGGCCAGGGACCAGTCAGGTATGCGGAGTCCACAGGGAAACAAAAACGATAGTCGTATGGATGCGGGTACAGAGTGAGGCTTCTTTTTGTTCTTTCTCCGTCTCTCCATTACTTCTGGAAGACACGAAGAAGGAATGGATCATGGATCATCGGCGATATTGCGACATGTGGGTAACAATCTGCGATCAGGGCAAGCACAGGCACAGGCCTACAGGCCTTGTTTGCCATGATTGCTATGTGCTGAGAGGAGTGGGCAACATGTGGATTCCTTGCGTGGCAGGCTGGACCCAGCTCGCACGAGGAGAGGATCGGCAGTGCGAGTCGTGAGCTTCTCAAGAACGACCCTTTTGGCCAGGGAGATGGATGGGCATCTTCCTACAGATACCCGCCGGTACCAAGGATGAGATCTCGCGAGAAGAGTTGACCAGGGCGTAACGGCGACAAACACAATGAACGGCTGATTGAGCGGTGCGCATTGGGCAACTACACGTAGAGAGGGTTTGAGTGTGTACAGATGTCATGGCGATCTTTGGTTGCAGAGTTGAAGCGAAAGCCGAAGTAGTTGTGGCGGACAGAACGCAGCGCATGCAGCGTCAGTAATGACGGCGACTTGAGACGAGAGCGTCTACCTTGAAGGCACAGGTGGGTACTTGAGAGGGGTACGACGGAATAGAGTGCGACAATCGACCAAAGACGGAGGGAACTGGGCAAGCTAGCTGGCCTAGAGGGCAATATGTGTTAGAAGTGTTCGGATGCGGTGGTTAGGAACGAGATGGCATGGAAGACAAGATACCTACTACTGCGCTGTATAGCAGGGAGTTGGAATTCTCAAATTTGCAACCTGGGAGACCACAAAATGCCATGTGCGTGGAGCACTGGAAGCCCAAGTTACCGACCTGGTGGGCTGAAATGTGGTATCGAATCCTGCTTTCGCTTCCCTGGCCAGAGGTTCCGCATTCCATTCAGGTTGATTGGGGGATGCAGCGGAAAAGCCCCAAGATGGTTCAGGACGGTTCTTTGGGGCTTTTTGCACAGTGGCAGACTCATACAGGGTCCAACCAGGGGGCGTTGGAGGTCGGATGTCGTGGGATATCGCATGCAGCGCTCCGTATCCGTAGCTACCTTGAGTTAGGTATCTACATAGTAGGTAAAAGATAGACAGCGCTTACGAATGACCGACGTGCATTTGGACGCTGGAGTTCTGGACCAGACCTTTCGGCTCCCTCTGAGAAATTCCATCTGCGTGCTTGGTGCTTGCTTGCCTGTATGCTCTGAAGTTTGACAGTGACACCCGCACGGCGACCGCACGGAGGGGAAGGAGGACGACTCAATGCTTGCTCATTCTCGTGCGTTCCCAGCAGTCGGGCTGGGTGCGTATGTGCGTACCTGGGCCATGCCACCCGTCTGCCTGGTTGCTGAGTTGAGGGTTGGGGAATTGAGGTTAAGGGTTGAGTCATATAAGGTAGGTAGGTAGGTATCTTCACTCCCGTCTCCTGCATCTGTTGTACAAGGTGGGAATGGAAGCCACAACCCGGATTGCGAGACTTTTGGGTTCGTCACCTTGAGAACCTTCCGATGATCGACCTTAGTCACCGAGGTAGGTAGGTGGCTTGCCTGTGCACCTGCCCGAGGTGCGTCGAAAAATTGCTATGCGATCGTGGCTGTTGAAGTCTCGTCTCGAGAGTCGAGGAACGCGTCTCAGAACGGCAGGCACGCCTCGCAGCTCGCAGGCGGGTTCAAAATGGAAGCAGCCACCAAGGCGTCATCCAGCAGATGGTTGCGCCAGTCAGAGACGGCGGCGGGCGGGAAGGTGGGTGCCGGTGTGCCACGGCGCAGACGCTCAGGTGCTTCTTTCCACCCCTCGTGCCCTTCCCTTCTTGCCTACCTTACCCGGGTGCTTCTTACCTGACTTTGGGGGGAGAAGGGTGGGAGCCTGAGGTAGTACCGGCGACTTGGAGAGGTACCGCGATACCTCGACCTGGAGAGGCACCTTGCCTTACATGGATTTCCTGCCTGAGGCACAGAACATAGCAGAGAGGTGGTCGACGGGATTGGTCAAGGTACCGGGGTACGGATGCGCTACCTTCCACCTTCCACCTTCCACGGACGCCGACCCCCTCCCCCTGCCCTTGCTTTTGACGTGCTTCTCCCCTGCAAACCCTGTTCCCAGTGGTTCCAGTCGCCATCCCCGGTGCGCCCCTCGACTGCATGGCAAAGTGGCTCCGAAGAAGGCTTCGTGGGCTTCCACACTTTCGATCGATGTTCGAGAAGGCGGCCAGAAGAGTGGACGCAGGACCCTGTCCCTTTCCCCCGCCGCTGGCCCCTTGCCTGCTCGTCGTTGCCCTGCTGGCCCCCCTCACACACATGAGATAAGCACCACCAGCCCGAAAACTGCAGCGGCCGATCAGTGATGCATTGCCTCGCACTACAATCTCACCAACTACGTCGACCTTACCTTGGCCAATCCATTCACCCATCCATTTCATATTATCCCTCCATCAATAAATCAGATGAGTCCATCACCACCAGTCGCTCCTCCAATGTTAAAAAGCCGACACGCTCATAGCTTTCTGGAGTGAACACAGGGTGAGAGTTTGACGACCATCGGCACCTACCCACAGGAATGGATGCGCAGGTTGGTCAGCCACTGCGGGACAAGGTACCCTTCTGCAAGTATATTCTCCCCCCCTCCGTCATCGTCCCATGCCTGCCAGGGGCTTGGGCTTGTCTGAATCCAGATCTGACATTCTGATTCCGACGGGCACTGACATTCTGAGTCCGACAAAGTATTCCCTCCGCCTTGCCTTGCACCCTAGGCCCTGACCTGAGCCTACTCTACGCTGCTACAACCTACGGACACTACTAGCACTTGATTTCCGGCCGGCCAGCTGCCTACCAGGCTATTCAGCACGAGCGCTAGCCGTCCGGCACCTTCGCTCTGTGCGTCTCAGCGCGGGATGCCTATCAGATAACTCGGTCGAATAGGTCTCTAATTGTCCGCTTTGTCCTTGGCCCGCATTCATCGTATTTTCACTCACGCTCCGTGCTTTCGATCTGTTTTTGTTGTCGACTTTTGGTCCGAGTCGAATTGCGTTGATATTTAGTACCTGCGCAAGACAACTCCATGCTCGGCACGGCGATACATGCTTTGCAGAATACAGTCAACACGAACAAGGGTCGGATCTAGAGCTGCCCGTCTTGGCATGCCGTTGTTTGTGACGAATCTTGGGCCGGAGGGAATGCTTCTGTTGCATCTGCGCCAGATTCTTAAGCGAGAAGAGAAGGGCAGAGACAGAACCGTCACCAGAGAGACTTGTTCCCAATAAGCGCCCCTTTCTTGACTCCAAGCTAAGGTAAGGTATCTGTGGTCTGAAGCATGTCGCTTGGAAGCCCAGCCGTGCCCTGGCTCATCTGGCGTTGCAGTCACATTCAACACTCCTGTCTCGAGGCCGCAGTGAACCTAGGCTCTTTCCTTCTTTTCTCACTCACGAAACTAGGATCGGAATTGAAAACCAGCACGGAATTATGGAATGTTTGGTCCGAGCTGAGCTATTTGGGCTGGAGATGTCTCTGTCTTCACCTCTCCTACTCCGGCGTTACTGGGTCAATCACCTACTGGAGTTTCGACTGGACATATTTCCTTCTCTTTCCATTCTTTCTGTCCCTATTCTGGGAGAAAGAGCAACAAGCAGATGCCTGGGTTGTCATATGGGTTACCGGCATGCTTTTTTGGCGCTTTTCTCTGCTCCCATCCACTCCTCCCAAGTTCGCAGCGCCGAGCAATCCTTGGCTCTGGAAGACAGGCGCATCTTACGCTAAAGTAGAAGAGGCCACGCCAGACCTGATTCGAAGTGACCTCGTCCTCTGAGTGTAGGCAAGTAAGGTACAGTGTAAGATGTCCGTACCTTGTGGGGAGAAAAGACTCGGGCTTCCATTCCTTCCGTCATCATGGAAGGCTACAGGTATATGGTGCACTCCACATACGAAGCATACCAACTTGCACCATACACCTCACCGGATTCACACCTTACACACACCTCCGAGTCCCAGTTGCCTGTCATTGGATTGCTTACAACCGCCACCATCTACTCTTTCTGCTCCTATGTCAATCTGAGCCGCATTCGCAATTTCCTCACCTGTTTCTCGCGTCGTTTCTTTTGGCTAGTCCGTTTGCTTCTCCAGAAAAATCTCACAGACACTGGACCGGAGCGCTACATTTCCTTGACATGATATCTCATGTTCCTTGGTACGTCTGCGTGGCCCGGTAGATAGACTGCCGGCAAAGAGAAGATGACGAAAAAAGAGCTCCCATTCTTCAGAAACTGGACTAGAGAAATAAAAAAGACGCCAACACCACAAACACTCTTAGTGCCGAGGACTCAGTCGCCTCCCCCACCTCACTTACTCATTCGATCAAACTTTACGTCGCCACTTCAGGGCACAAGAAGAAAAGACTCTGTCTGTGGTGAGTGCATGTTACCATGCTAGCCCGGAGTCAAGTTACACTCCTCTAGCTTTTCCATAGTTTTGAGAGCTTCGAGTTCTGTTTCTTGTTCTCTCCCGCCTTGCTTTGTTGGGCAAAGTATGTAATACTTGCGATCCCGTTCTGTCACCGGAATCTGGGGACCTAGGGTATGTTACCTTAGGTAGGGTGGTGGGAGGGCATGCACGGCCTACACTCTGTAGTCGGTACAGTGACCTCCCAATTCATGGTAAACTTGGGTCTCGTGAGTTGGTCTCTCAGGTGCCTTGCCGTTGCTGAGAGATGGCAGTTATTACAATGGTGACTGTGAGGTATGCACTGAGGTGAGGTGGAAGGGGAGAGGCACAGTGGGAAGCAAGGTGCCTTGTACTCGATAACGTACATTACTTTACCTGGCCTTCTCGATCTCGGCAGTCTTTTTTTCCCGTCTTTTTTTTTTTCTTTCTTTCGCAAGCAGCAATTTTTAGGGCCAACTTGGGAGTAGGTACGCTCTCATCCACTGGAAGTACGGAGTACCTGCTGCGTGGTGCGTACGCCCATGGTGCCCTTTTCTGCCCACCTACCCACCCAACCCATACACCCTCCACACCTCACATGCACACCACACATTCCCAGTGCCTGCTGCTGCTGCTGCTGCTGCTTGCTACCTATTGTGTGCTTCTACTGTTGGTGCTGGTGCTACGTACTTACTTACCTTGCTCGAGGCTGCTTGCCGCAACCTGCACCGCACCCGCACCCGCACCCGCAACTGCAACTGCAACCACCTCTCAGGGCAGAGCCTGGGGCTGTCTCTCTCGTCTCTCCCGTTGTCTCTCCTCCCGTCCCCGTCTGGGCTGTCTGTCTCCCACTCACTCGAGGCCCTCTTTCGCACCCGGTACATCCACCCACCCCCCCTTGCGTTGCTTAACAATTTCGTACTCGACCCGGTCCATTGTACTTTCGTACTCTCCTCCCAGTCCCAGTCCTCCAAGGACCCAAACTCCAATCCTCCCCGTCCCAGCTGGCCGCCCAGTCGCCCTCTTTCCTTTCTTCCCACTTCACGCCCGTTCGTCCCAGCCCTTGTTGTACGTAGCCTACCCTTCATGATATCACGTACACTTGTCGTCGCTTCCCTCTTGTGCTCCGCTTCTCTGTCGCCCAATTCTGCAATCTTTCCCTCCTCTCATTCTCCTCCTATGCCAGACTGACCAGGAAAAAAAGACTTTGCTCGTTATCAACAGCGCCAGCATACCGAAGCCTCCACCCTTCGTCTCGAGTACATGCGAACTTTCCGCGCGACGGTACCCGCAACTGCGAAACGACAAATCCCCCCTCTCTCGATCGCCCCTACTCACACAAAAACCCAAAAGGATCCGTACACGCCTCGACTTTAGGAACAAACATCACGTCCATGATCTCGGCCAATCCGATTTCGTGCGACTACCATCGATGCCAATCCTGGTGACCGTCGGAACCACCGCGCTACCGCTGCTTCCTCGCCCGCACTTGGTGAAGTACCATTCATGAGATTCCTGGTCGACACCCCGATCACATCTTGCCTTCCAATCTCGACGACTTTATCACGAAACCTGCTTCATTGAATCATTCGTTGCGCATTGCCCATCTACCTGGACACCGAAGGCGTTGCGCCACCGTGCTGCTTCTCGACAGGACTGGGTCGCCGTCCTCGATTTGTCCCGCTGCGAAAGCTCAAGAATTGCAAG